TTCGGTGGAGGCAAAAATGAAATATTCCTGTTTCGAAGTTCAAATCAAACTGATTGCAAATATTACAGCTGTCATACATTTGGATGCATTTCAGACCTCAAACCTGAACAAACAAACCTCTCTTTACTAGACTATATCTGATAGTTATAGCTATTCTCAGATTAACAGGCTTCTCTGCATACAAAACATGATAGAATCTTAACAAACACAAAGTCCACACATGTAATTGTAAATTTTAACACATTTTGTGCAATTTATGCAATAAATGATCCATGATCTGAAAAGGGCATTGCTTTGTGTAGTCACATGCAGGGCTTTTTCTTTAATAGCTTTTCATGTGGTTGTGCAGATGTTAGTAATATTAACCACTGCAGATGTTAATAATAATAATAATAATAATAATAATAAGTGTTGGTCAGTGATAACAAGGAGCATATAAATAAATAAATAAACAGGGTGGTGTTGTGGGGCTAAATTTGGATTTTTTTCAGTAATAATGTTTTATTTAATTGCACCATTTAAAAAAAACACTGCAAAAATAATTGGGAAAGGATAAGAAGGAAGAGTCAATAAAGAGATACCCAGAAGCAAACTTCTAAGATAATGGAAAAACTACAGGGACAGAAAGGAAGTGGGGGGTGGGGCAGTAATAATATGAGCACATGCTCGCTGCATAACCGGATTGTTATGGCGAAGTTTCTGCAGGTAACATTTTCCCACCACACCCTTCAGTTGTACAGTGCAATTGCAGTAAATTCTTGCAGTGTGTGTCATGTGCTTGTATTGCATGAATGTGAATGTATTTATAAGGAAAACAGTAACCCGCTAAAATAAGCTTCCAAAGTATTTGAGCCGAAAAAGAAAGTGGGAGGGACATTAGTTGAAGTTTTATTTGATAACCTGATAAGGTCAAACTACCATTTGAAAAAAATTGACACGTGATGGGGAGTTCTGCTTGAATCATCACGACCCTGATGAAGGCCACAAGCCGAAACGCGTTGGTCTATTATTAAAGTTGTTCTTCTTCCCTCAAGTGTTGCTGGACTTCCTGCTTTGTGAATTCTTTTATCCTCTCCATGCACCTTGGAAGCAGGTGAAGTTGTGCCAGAAATTTTTTTTTACTGGTGAGTTCTGCGTGAACCAAAGCTCCCCCACTGCTCGTCCATAAACGAGCAATTAAGTGTCGTCACTGGAAATATAAAATGAACCCTTGTTAACCAAGACTGTGTTTTGCTAGATGACAGTCTTAGTTGTCAGGGCCACACCCAGGCTTTGCTTATGCGTGTCACTGTCACTGGTGGGGTGGTTGTCATGGCGACAGGTGAGCTGAGTAATGTCTGGGAGAAAAGACTCAGAAGTGTGTTAGAGACAAGTTGTTCATTACCATGACAACCTTACAGTAACATCCGACTTTGCCACATTTGTCCACCTAGGACAGCAGTTACCCATGTGCGGCATTCACTGTATTTTATTATTTATTATAATCAATTATAACAAGAATTGTTTTTGTGTTTTTTTACTCAAAACACCAATTTTTCTCGTTTGGCTCTCAGCGAAGGCGGTCGCACTTTTCTCCTCTCCTCCTTCCCCTTATCTTCCCTGCTTAGCCTCTGTGT